AAAAGGAATATACAACAATGCATTATACATAAATATTATCAGCAAACAAATCTAAGGCAATAGATTACCATAATTTTTAGATCATCATTATGTAAGGACCAGTTAACAAGTGAATGACTTTGAGATGAAGAGTAAAGCCAGTTCAATTTCTATGTAAATAACACAAGATGATTATTACCTTACCCAATTGGGAGAATCTGTATGGGGCAAGTCCCTAATAAAGGCTTTTGTGTGTGTGTGTTATACATAATTATCAGCCATCTATACAGTTTTATACATGGATAGATTAAGGGTAGAGGGTTGTATAAAGTCGGGATATAAAATCTTACTTAATTTGTCCATTCATCCAGTTGTGTCCAGTAGAAACCACCAGATTCATTAAGTTACTTCTAATATCATTCGCAATAGTTTCATACAAGGATGGATCAAGGGTAGAAGGTTGTCTAAAGTCGGGATATAAAGTTTTACTTAATTTGTTCATTCACCCAGTTGTGTTCAGTAGAAGCCACTGGATTCATTAAGTTACTTCAAATATCATTCGTAATAGTTTTATACATGAGTGGATCAAGGATAGAGAGTTTTCTAAAGTAGGAATATAAAGTCTTAGGAGTTAATAAACTTGTTCATTCACACAAACACTCAGTTGTGTTCAGTAGAAGCCATCTGATTCATTGAGTTACTTCGTTCTTTCACAATTTTAAAATGTAAAATATTATAAAAATGAAGCTTAGGTCAGCCAACGCATTATTTAGCTAGGTGTACATTCGAATATTTGTCATAGTTTCAACCAAGAGTAATCTCAAATTAACCAAATACTGCATTAATTTACTCAGGAAATGATGATGAAGGAGATAATATTGCTGTAACACGTTTGCGCATATTTTACTTATTTTCAATTTTTTTATTTTAAATATTTTCAAAGAAAATTGATACTAATTGAGACCATGAGATCAATTCCAGAAGAAAAGGGCGGATCTATGTTTATAGGCGATTTCTCCAGGATAGTTTTATATAGGATAAGTCTATCTATATATCTATATTCTATCTATATATATAAAAATGAATGTTTGTATGTCCGGTATACAAATTCGCAGTAGTTCACTAATTCAAACCAAAATTTCCATACATAGGTAAAAAAATACGGGGAAGACGATAGGCTATTTTAAAAAATATATAAATCAATTATTAAAACTATATATTTTTAGTCAGAAAATGATGATGACGATATTGCTGTATCATGTTTGATTATCAGATACAAAATTATATCTGGAAAAATTCCAAAAAGCAGAGACCACGGGTGAAACCAGTTCATTATTTTGTACGCAGGAACAAAATTGTAACAGAAAAACATTCATTCGAGCAGAAGACACAAAGCCAGATCATCTCTCCATAAAAATATTGCTTCTCAGACACAAAGTTTGAAGCGGGACGTTTCACAAGAGTGACATCCACGGCGCCAATTTATAATTGTAACGAATAGTATTTGAATAAAAACATTTAATCGGGTAAAACCCGGGCGTTGCCCGGGTCATTCGGCTAGTATATATATATAACTAAAAAAAATGTAGAAAAAGATAAATATAATCGATCTGATCTGTTTGTTTCTTTTGTTTAAAGATAATATACCAGTGATATATTTTTACTTTACTCTGTTTTGATTCGTGATAATGGAAGGTATATCATCATTATTAAAGACTTTGTTTATAATGTGTGTATGTGTGTAAGAAATGTGAAATAATAAAATAATTATAGTAGCATGAAATCTCGCATCTTCTATTTTTATTTTAAATATATCTAAATATAAAGTGCAATTGCTTATAAAATATAAAATAACATTTACTTATTAATCTTCACCCTATAATAGAAACTTATCAATTATGAGTAAGATAAGTTTATATAGTAGAAGCTCCATGAGAGGACACTCGCGCTAGAGGACACATTTCTATAAAGGCACTTTTCATTTGTAAAATTATCATTTCTACTATTTAGCAACTCTCTGGTAAGAAGACACCTCTCCCTAAAGAACATTTTGGCTCTGAAATTAGGTGTTGTCCTTTACAGGGAGATTCTACTGTATTATTATTTTTGAGGTGAATATAATGTATGCATCAATAAATATTTAAATTGTTTAACAGAAAGAATTTAACAAGGGAACCAAGCATTTAAATCGGCTTTGACACGTCATGAGCTTGTCCATATATATATATATACAGTAGAACTTGGATAATTTGTACATCTTTAATTGCAATATTTATCTTGGTCCCTAGAATTTCCTATAAATAGAATTTGTGTTTTTAATTCTAATTTATGGATAATTCTAAAAAAAAAATTTTTTGAGCCTTTGGCTTCGAATTTTCCAAGTTCTAATGTATATATATAAAAACACACAGCTTTATTAAGACCACCGGTCTTATACAGATTCACCACAGGAAGAAAGGAAGCATAGATGGAGCTCCTATACTCCAGGCAGCTCAGCACCCAACAACAACAACACAGCTTCATTAAGACCACCGGTCTAATACAGATTTAACACAGGAAGAAAGGAAGCATAGATGGAGCTCCTATAGTCCAGGCAGCGCAGCACCCAACAACAACAACACAGCTTTATTAAGACCACCGGTCTTATACAGATTCACCACAGGAAGAAAGGAAGCATAGATGGAGCTCCTATACTCCAGGCAGCTCAGCACCCAACAACAACACAGCTTTATTAAGACCTCCGGTCTTATACAGATTCACCACAGGAAGAAAGGAAGCATAGATGGAGCTCCTATACTCCAGGCAGCTCAGCACCCAACAACAACACAGCTTTATTAAGACCTCCGGTCTTATACAGATTCACCACAGGAAGAAAGGAAGCATAGATGGAGCTCCTATAGTCCAGGCAGCGCAGCACCCAACAACAACAACACAGCTTTATTAAGACCACCGGTCTTATACAGATTTACCACAGGAAGAAAGGAAGCATAGATGGAGCTCCTATACTCCAGGCAGCTCAGCACCCAACAACACAGCTTTATCAAGATCAACGGTCTTATACAGATTCACCACAGGAAAAAAGGAAGCATAGATGGAGCTCCTGTACTCCAGGCAGCACAGAACCCAACAACAAAGCTTTATTAAGACCACCGGTCTCATACAGATTCACCATAGGAAGAAAGGAAGCATAGATGGAGCTCCTGTACTCCAGGCAGTTCAGCACCCAACAACAAAGCTTTATTAAGACCACCGGTCTTATACAGATTCACCACAGGAAGAAAGGAAGCATAGATGGAGCTCCTGTACTCCAGGCAGTGCAGCATATATAAAGTCTTCTTCTTCTTTCTTATCTCCACTCAATCATATTAGGGTATTAAGTTGTGACCCTTGATGGTGTCTGTTTGACAACCATAATGACTGGGTGAAGTAGAATGCGTTTGCCTTTGTCATTAAGACTGGGAGCACTACTCAGTGGCAGGCCGACTTAGCTCCAAAAGAAATGGCCGCCTCTGACATGAGGAACAGACGCCATGTGCAGCCGCTCCTAACATGGAGTACAAACGCTGCTCATCCTGTATCCCTGGAGCCCTTACAGGGTACTATCAGCCGGGCCAGCTGAGCTCAGGTTTTTTAGCGAGCTTGTTACTGCTCCCCCTCCTCCTTTTTCATCTGGGCTTGGGACCGGCAAAGGCGGAGTTGCATATATTGCATATATAAAGTAAAGTTTGTAGACCATATTTTTGTAGAGAAATCTACATAGATTAAGTCCAATCAAGAATAATTATCAGACGAGGCTATCCAAAGTACGCGAGGCCCCTATCTTAGAACGGTATCAAGATTTGGTTGAAGAATTAGCAGGCGTTGACCACAGCCTATCTAGGTCAAATGTTGGTTTTTGATAAATGCCTAGCCTACTACTTGTGCCTGTTTGGATAGTACCTACTGGATGGTTGCACGTGTTCTTCCAACCATATGGCCTCTTGTTTAATACTTGTCCAACGTTGTACTACGGGCAACGCACTTTAATCAGTATTTTCTAATGTTCAAATTGCTATTATTTATCAAAAACACTTTTTTTCGAATTAATTTACTTGTTTATTCTTTTTCTTTAACAAATCATTGCACTTGTTATATCGGATGGATCACAGCTTGTGACCATTGCACAGGCACTAAGTCTGTAACTAAGTCTGTTACAATATTTTATTGTAAATATTTGTTAAATGGTTAATATATTATATTTTGTTAATGTTTTAAAGAAGTCAATGAACGAGTGGTTAAAACCCTCGATTCCCGACAGTCATGAACCGGGATCGAATCCCGCGTTAACATTTTGTTTAATATGTGAATAACCTTCATATATTATTCATTGTTGTAATTATCATAAACTAGGTTGTTCTTTTTGAGCGGTACCTAATAAAGTGATCTTGGAACAGGAAGATGTGAATGTTTTTATTGCCTCAATTGGTATGTCATGCGCTTATCAAAAATACTTCGTAAGGCTGTAAATTAATGTATTTATCCAATAAGTAGTAACATAAAGGTAACCCAGGCTCCTGGAACGTATCCATAGATCACCAACTACCCGGGCAAATTATCCAACATTGCATTCAAGTAGAACATTGAAAGTTGTTTATGTTCAAATTACTGTATTTTTCTATAGAGTATTTTCGAATTATTTTACTTGTATAGATTAGTTTTTCTTGTTTTCAAATAACATTACTTTTTTTTAACCATTGTGTATGCCCAAATGCTTTGAATCATTCTACTTGTTCCATATTGCATTCGAGAAAATTATTGCTCGAAATTTGCATGTATTACAATTTACTGTACTTAGCACACTTACTTTTTTTTCGAAATATTTTATGTCTAAAATACTCTATGTTCAAATCATAGGATTCATTAAAAATTCTTCCTGAATTATTTAAATTAATGTACTTGTTTAAAATTGCATTCTGTTCTCTCCAGCTTACCAGCATTCCAACTACAGCGATTCCTGACGTCTACACTTCTTGGACTGCATTGTTTTTGTGTTGTAGGGGTTATCACATCCACCTAACATGCGGAAGGTCCCAGGTTCGAGCCCTGGTAGAAACATCCTTTTCTGTATAAGACTGAAAGGTCTTAATAAAGTTTTTTTTGTTGTCGTAAAAAAAAAAATTAAAAATATTGAACTGCCCTCAATCAATGACACTGCCCTATTGAATCTACCAAGAAACAAACCGGCCACTTGGTGAACTGGTTCACTAAGACTACCAAGACAGACTTCTAAACTGCAGGACTGCCCTCATTCAATGACACTGCCCTATTGAATCTACCAAGAAACAAACCGGCCACTTGGTGAACTGGTTCACTAAGACTACCAAGACAGACTCCTAAACTGCAGGACTGCCCTCATTCAATAACACAGCCCTATTGAATCTACCAAGAAACATACCGGCCACTTGGTGAACTGGTTCACTAAGACTACCAAGACAGACTCCTAAACTGCAGGACTGCCCTCATTCAATAACACTGCCCTATTGAATCTACCAAGAAACAAACCGGCCACTTGGTGAACTGGTTCACTAAGGCTACCAAGACAGACTCCTAAACTGCAGGACTGCCCTCATTCAATAACACAGCCCTATTGAAACTACCAAGAAACAAACCGGCCACTTGGTGAACTGGTTCACTAAGGCTACCAAGACAGACTCCTAAACTGCAGGACTGCCCTCATTCAATGACACTGCCCTATTGAATCTACCAAGAAACAAACCGGCCAAGAAACACTTGGTAAACTGGTTCACTAAGACTACCAAGAAAGACTTCTGAACTACAGGACAGCCCGGGTAGTTGGTGATCTATGGATACATTCCAGGAGCCTGGGTTACCTTTATGTTAATAAAATATTAATACATTGCACACTCAGTCAAAATGTTTGAAATTTGCTTGTGTCCAAATTACCGTACCTATACAAGAGGCTTATTTTTTCTCGAATTAGCTTAATTGTCTAAAATGCCATTTCTCTTTAATTCAAATCACTTATATATTACCTAATAACCCTATCCCTAACACTTGAATTAATGCACTTGTCCAACATTGCATTGAGGCAAAATGAATACAACAACATGAAGCAAAATACCTATTAATTTATTAACCGATTATATATTTTGATGAAAAATACTCTGTAAACTTCCCTCATTGCCTTTTTGTATTTTTAGAAATTTAATTTGGGCTTGCGCCTTAAATTGCTATGTCATCCTGAAGTTTGTCTTTCCTCATTTTCGACGTGACATTTTGGAGGAGATGCTGGGTAGATTATGGAAATCTTAGGGAAGATTTAGGGCAGATCGCCGAGGAAACCTTGAAGCCATAGGTGCTGTGATTTACATTTTTTCTAAGGCTAGCTCCAGGATTCCACCGTCGTGTTAAAGCCAAGACTTCCCTCCAAGATGACGATGTCCCTATAGACGATTCGATGACAAAGCCGCTCTTCACGCCGCAAGAGAAAGGACGCAAAGCTACTAGGGACAGAGTTCCAAGACTCTAAGAGAATTCTTGGCCGAAGCACGTCAGATACAAGTCAGTATCTACAATAATTGCTAGCTGTGGGTCACAGCTCCAATAGGGAAGGAGCTATGTAGCAAAGTATTTATTATTTTATTAACAGGTTATATATTTTGATGTATATATTTTGTTACTTTGTAAACTTCCATCTTTGTCTCTTTGTATTTTAGAAATGTTATTCCGTTGGTCAACACTGGTTCAGCTCAGCAAACAAAACAGGACGCGAGTAAAATTGGTTATCACTAGTACATACCATTGAGCTGGCCTCACTGGGTAGTTGGCGTTCTACGTTTCAAGAACGGGCAATTTGTCTATACTCTACAAATTTTATGTTTTTGAAATAAAATTAAATACCTTCTTATTCTAAAATTTGAATATCTAAATGGCAATATTATTTAAAATAAAATAGAAAACGATAGAAAATAAAAATATATATAATATGGAAGAAGTATGCAAAGATGTTAATGCAGGGATATGGCAGAGAATCGAGCAAAAACATGTGGAAAAGAAAGATTGTCCTATGTCGAGGAAGTGGAAAACAAAGAACTGTGCAAGATTGCAACAAATATCAGAGTCACAAATATGGTGAATTAATATTGAGACAAAAGACCAAAGAACTGTAGAATTTCAGAGTATAATTTATTCATTATTAAACTATATTTTTCGTTGCATTTTAATTCTGAAAAAAATCCTGATTATGTAAATGGATATTTCAGCAGGGTGAGAGAAGTTAGATGTTTTACCTCAAAACACATATTTTGGATTAAATATTCTTTGCAAGTGCGATGTCTGTTAAAGTTCTATAATTTATTATTTAACTTATAAGATAAACTTCAATAAGGCTTAGAATGTTCTAGTACTAGATATGAACAAACAGCACATGTAAATACAGAGTAACTTATATCCAAAAAAATTGCAAACTAGATAATATATTAGATACTAGCCGAATGACCCGGGCAACGCCCGGGTTTTACCCGATTAAATGTTTTTATTCAAATACTATTCGTTACAATTATAAATTGGCGCCGTGGATGTCATTAGGTCAGCTGATATTACCTCCTATCCTCATCGCTAGAGGCGCTGCTTGCGAGCGAAAACGCAAATTTGCAACGCAATTTGCAAATAACTCGAAGAATATTCGGGATAGAGACCTGAGATTTTCACTATAAGTTTTTCCAGATTCTACTCTATATACTGTTAAAATTTCAGTCAGATTAGTTACGTATTGTGGACGTGTATAGCCGACATAGATACCCACATACATACATAAATACATACATACATACATACATACATACATACATACACTGACTTTTATATATATAGGGATGGACAAACGCAATATATGCTAATGCGTAACCATGACTCCTGAAGCGTACAGGCGTCATATACAAATCAGTGTAACCTATCCCCAAAATATGAACAAACTGAATATGTGAAAAATACAGAGAACTAATATCCAAAACAATATTGCATACCTGATAAAATACTACAATGAACAAACAGAATATGCAAATTAACACAGTAACAATTATCCAAAACATTGCATACTTGATAATATACTAGATAAAAACAATTGGAATATGTGTGCAAATAGAGTAACTTATATCTAAAACAATATTGCATACTTGACAAAAATACTAGACATGAACGAACAGAATATGCAAATCACCCACTGAGTAAATAATATCCAAAACATTGCATACTTGATAATATACTAGATATAAACAAACGGAATATGCAAATCACACAGTAACTATTATCCGAAACATTGCATACTTGATAAACTATAGTAGATATGAGCAAACAGAATATGCAAATCACACACAGATTAACTAATATCTAAAAACATTGCATACTTGATAATATGCTAGATATGAACAAATAGAATATGCAAACAGAGAGAGAGAGAGTGAAAAACTATTACGAATAGTTGGCGATCTATGGATACGCTCTAGCAGCCTGGGTTACCTATATGTTAGAGTAACTATTACCCAAAGCATTATTCTACAGTATATACAGTTACGAGCGTCTTTCCTCATCTCCTAATCAGTCATCTCTCTCTGTCACCGTTTGCTTTTTTTTTTTTGGAATGGCGCCCTCCTATTGGTTGGCTACGGTCACGCCACCTTTGCCCCCCCCACTCGCTATTTATGTAACTATTGTGTTGGAGCGGGTCGCTCCCTAAATAAATGCATATATTATATAATAACCAAATGGAATCCTCTCTTTCTTTTTCCCAGTAAGAGACGCCTACGGAAGCCAATAGTACATAGACAGATAAAGCACATAGGCTATAGTTATTAACTAACATATGCAATTAATTAAGGCGCCAATTTATAATTGTAACAAATAGTATTTGAATCAAAACATTCAATCGGGTAAAACACGGGCGTTGCCCGGGTCATTCGGCTAGTATATATATCGTAATTTAAACAATGTGATATGTAAGTAATAAAGTATGACGTCTTTTCTAGTCGTCTCAAAGTGACACCAGCTTGCTACCGGACACCCGGGGGATCCAGAGAGGGACAAAGAAGGGGCTTTGGTCCGGATGTTGACAGTTGGTTAGGTTACAGTGGATATTTTCGGACAGCCCCGCTCAGTTCTAGGCCATTATCATCTCACGACGGTTCCCGCGGCTTCATGCTGGACGCCGAGCTTTCCTCTGTTAATCCTAAACTTTCCCCTGGTCCTGGTGCAACGTGAGACGTACTAGGAGAGCGTCTTTTGATCCCAAACTTTGTCCTTACTGTCCCGTGCGGACTTCCCACTCTGCACGCCTTGCCACTCAACCCCGACTGCTTCCAACTCACTTGTTGGCTTACCCGGGTTTATGACATATATATTGCATACTTGATAATATGCTAGATATGAACAAATGGAATATGCAAATCCCAAACACAGAGTAACTAATATTCAAAACATTGGATCTACTTATATAATTGCCTTATTCTGTCTGTGTGAAGTTCACGGATAGATTTTGGTCAGAATGGATAAAATAAAAAAAGTGTCAAGGGATGGGAATCGAACCCACGACCTTCCGCTTACCGGGCAGATGCCATGACCACTAGGCCACATGACCACAATTTATAATTGTAACAAATAGTATTTGAATCAAAACATTCAATCGGGTACAACACGGGCGTTGCCCGGGTCATTCGGCTAGTACTTGATAAAATACTAGATATAAATAAACAGATATGCAAATCAACACATGCATGTCAAAAGTATCATAAAGAAAGCAAAAATCGCAAAAATAACATTATCAACTATAGAAGTAAATTGTCTACAAAACAAAAGTTAACTCTTTACAGAAGTTGTATCCTCCCGATAGAAACATACGCACTCCCAGTTTGGTGCAAATATATTACAACCACAGACAAAAATAGGATAAACGCATTCATCAGAATCTGCCTTCGGACAAGTATAGGAGCTCCATTCAACCTATCAAACAAGATACTGAAGGAGGACTTGAACCAACCCGATCTAGAAGATATGTACCAAACTTCCGTTAAGAAATTTTACCTTCAAATGCAAAATTAAAA